TTAAAAGGGACAAAATGGGAGGCCAGGAAACCAATGAGAGGGCTATTATAATGATCAAACAGATAAGTAATATCTGAACTAAAGAAGAGGCTGTGGAAAGGTCAAGGAGATGATGGGTTTAAATCATATTAAGGAGACATATTCTAGGACTTTGGGACTGTGTTGGTTGGGAGTGGAGGATGGGTTTGGGTGACTGGACAAATGATGTTCACCAAGATAGGGAATATGGGAGAAAGAGCATACCGATATTTCACTGAGAGATACCTTTCATTCAACACATTAAAAACAAAATTCATTTAACTCCCCCCCATAAATCCACTCTTCCTTTTATATACCTGTGACACCATTCCCTTATGGTTTTTCTCCTCCGGTTCTCTGGCTACTCCTTCACATTCTGCTTTTCAGGGTCCTTTTTCCCTTTGTCTCCTAAATATTAGTATTCTCAAAGTTGCTTGTCTCTTCTCACTTTTCAATCTCTCTTGGGTGAGCTCATCTATTCCCAAGCTATCAATTAGTATTCACCTGTTTACTGATAACTTCCAGATCTCTATTTCTGGCTCAGACCACTCACCTCAGTTCCAAACCACCTATATCCATTGTGTACACTGGAATATCCCAGGGGGATATTCATTTAATGTGTTGAAAACCAAACTCACTTTTCTGATAATCTGCCCAGCCTTTACATATACCAATTAAAAACCAGAACAAAAACTCCAAAAAACCTTTTCTTTAGACTTTCTCTCACTGGCTCTTCCCCTCGATTCTGTGACTACATAAATTATGCTTCCTCTCCAATCTTAATCTAAATCCTCCATACACTCATTTGATCAAGACAGTCTATATTTTCTAGTAAAGTCTACTTTTAGCACTTTCATAACATTTCTGTTATTATCCCATTCTAAAATACATTCTTAACGTCTACAGTGTCATTTCCAACTCTAGTTAAAAGCATTTCATCTGAAATGAATGCCTCATCTTCCTTCTTCTTCATCTTGAAATTTCTATCTTTCTTCCTTCATTCTCTCTCTTTTTCTCCAAGACTAACTGTTCACTTGAATCCTTGATGCCATTCCATGCTATTCCACTTTTGTCATCTGCAGAGACCTGATTTATGAGAATAGGAGCCTCATCTGTCTCACCCCCAGCTTCCGGAACAGTGAGTGCCTAGCAGATGGTAGATATCAGAAAACATATATTGAATGCTTTATTAATGAATTTTCCTCTTTTGCCTTTTCAGTTTCTCTCCTTTCCCTCTACATCGGGTTCTTCTGTAAGTCTACAAATATGGTTAAGTCTTTTTTCAAGGGAGGAAAAAAATAAATAAAAAGACATTCGTAAAACTTTCTCGTGACCCTATCTTTCCAAGTTATTGGCTATGTCTGCCACCAAGCTTCTTTTAAGTCACATCTTCACCACTTAATGTTCACTAACATTTCGAATGAAATGTGGTTTACTCCCAGAAGTGCCTTCTGAAAATCAGCACTGACTTCCTAGACCTTCTTCTCATGCCTCATCCTCCTTGCTGCTCCTTCTACATCATTTAACACAAAGGGACACCCACTGCTTCTTAGAACTCTTTTCCAGGAAGCCTTCCTTGATTCGCTTAAAGACAGATTATAGGTTCCTTTATTTCCTATAGACCATCACAGCACTTACCATGCTGTTCGTAACTAACTACTTATTTATCAGTATCCTGGACTAGACTAAAAATTTCTTAAACACAAGAGTTATGTCTTCTTAATCAATGTATTCCCACTATCTGGCACTATGACTGCTCAATAAATATTTGTTGAATAAACGAAGGAATATTGTCATCAGATCAACACCTAAGAGTTCTAAGAATACTGGAGAATGGGAGTGTTGGTTAAAAGAAGGATGACAGGTAACATTCTAAGGGAAAAGGGCATGTAAAAGCAGTACGAGGGGTATGGACAATCAGAAAGCAGCATAAAGACATGAATGAGTTACTTCACATATTTACTCATTCATTCATTTGGTATTTACTGTAGGCAAGGCAATTAGGGGAGAAATAGAAAGATAATCAAGATATTGTACCAACCCTCATGGATCTGTCTTAGAATCAAGGGCTGAAGGTCTGGGGGTGATAAGAACTGGTAGAAAATAGGGGTAAGATACTCTGCCACTAAATAGCAATTCTGAATCTAAAACTGAAATATCAGGGCAAGTTTGGAAGACCCCAAAATCAGCTTCCTTTAGTCCACTCACCTTTGCAATCTAGGTCTACCAGCAGCAGCTCTCAAACTTTAGTGTATATAAGGAACACCTGGAGATCTTGTTAAAGATGTAGAGAAATCTCCCAGAAATCCTGATTCTGTGGGTCCAGGAATCTACATTTTTAATAAGCATCCAAGGGGATTATGATGCTTTTGGTCTATAGATTATACTACTGTAAAGTCCTTAGTCATTCATACCATCATAATTTTGCCATATCTGAGTTTCACCTATACTATTTTCTTAATTTATATTGAAACTACATATATAGATATCTACCTTATATCTACCTATCTATATATCTTAGCCTTATCCTGAGCAAGAGGTTTGATGACACATTTTTTATAATATACATGAAATAAATACATAAACATTAAAAACTCTGTATACATCAGTGGATGGGAAACAGTTTGAGAAACACTGCTCAAGAGTTTATGATCTCCAAACACCATGTCCTGCATGCAGTCTGATGATAGAAATTATTTTAAAAAGTCCCAGGGAAGTGAAGTTCAGCAGAATTGTGCTTCAGAAGAGCTCATGTATATATTCCGGTATCTTTTATGGATTATAAAATAATCTGAAAATGTATTTCAAATTAATGTTCTAATTATTACAAAACAACTTATTATAAAAACCCCTCCTCATAATGACTTTTTATTTTACAAAGGGCTTTGTTTTTCATTCTGGTACTTAACTCCCATAATGTTCTCAAACTGACACCTGAACCAACTCCCAGCAGCTAAGGCACCAAACTTAAAAGCAGCAATTGGAACAAAATGAAGATAGACCTGTGTTTTTGACCCACAATAAAATAGCTATCCATTTTATTTAAAATTACATTTGATTAAGTCTGATAACTGAGTTCAAAGGTATAAACTTGATAGCTCTCCTTCTTTTCCTTCAACCCCAAAGTAATTTATAATAATAGGCAAAATAATATGGCAAAAACATGAGAGGAATAATTGTATCTCAGAAAGGTCTATTCCTTAAAGGCTTTGGCAACCCATAACCACAAACAGAAAAGAAAGCTGAAATAGAAAACCTTCACCAAATGGAAGATTGTGCTGATATTAAGCCTTTAAAAACAACGTTCTGCTCTAAAGCATGTTTTTGCATAAACAGCTAAGAAAATCAATCTCTATCTAAACACTGGAGCGAATTTTTTTGGATACCACATTGTCACTGTGTCGCAAGCCAGTTCTATATGTTTAATCTCTAGTCACACGGAACAAAAAGATAGATGAATGACTACGATCCTTGATCACTACTTCACTTAACTGGAAATTTAGCTTACTACTTACTGATTTATAAAGCTCCTTATCCTGTTTGGATGAGAGGATTATTGCAATAGCCTCCTAACTAGCCTCTCCACTTCAGCCACTGTTCTCTACAGTCTGTTCTCCACACAGCAGCCAGAGAAACCCTGTTAAAAATGTCAGATCAGTCACTCTTACCCTCAAAACTGTCCAGTCCACATCTCAAAGTCTTTTAAATGGCCCACAAGACCCCCGACACACAATCACCCTTATCCTTCAGCTCAAACCACTCTCCCTTTGCTCACTCTGCACCTGTTACAATAGCTTCTTTGCTGTTGCTTTAACACACTAGACCAATTCCAGACCTAGGGCCTTTGCACTTGCTGTTCCTTTTGCTGAGACCTCTCTTTCCACGCGCATCCATATAGCTCTGCTCTATCACTTCCTTTGGGTCTTTACTCAAACATCACCTTCCAGGCAAGCCCTCTTACATACCTAACTGCTACCTCCCTACTCCCATACATATTTCTGAACTACTTGCCCTGCTTTGTTTTTCTCCATAGAACTTCCATTTGACATTCTATACCTTTTTTTGTTTACCACTTGTTTACCCCACCAGTGTGAGCTCCTGCTGGGTGAAGACTCCCTTTTGCTCTGTTCCCTGTTGTATCCCAGTGCCAAGAATAGTGCCTAGCACACAGTACATGTTCAATAAATATTTGCTTAATGAACAAACAGTATTACTTCAACTTTGGGACTTTCAGCCTTAACCCTATTAAGAGCTGGAAAGAGGAGCCGGAGCACATCCCCCAAATTTCAAGAAGGTATTTGGCGTCTGCGAATCTACATGCGTTATCTTTTGTCTGGTATATCGTTCCTTCTTATTTTTCTTAGATAATAAGGCAGCAGAAAAATTCCGAACTAGTGTGCAAAGCAGCAGCCAAGTAATCATGGAAAAAACTGATTTGGGGTGATCTGATTCTTATCCCTAAGCCAACAGAGAAAACGCCTTTTGAATTTATGTAGTTTCTCCTCTTAAACCTAAAGAAAATAAGCCGTGTGTCTGTTGTCTTTTGTAGGGTGGGCAGGGGGTGGGAGAGAGGCGCAGGCCCCGCACACCGTCCTCGAGCAGGGCAACTCCGTGCGGTCCAACTTACTTTTTAGGGGGTGGGCACGGGTCGCGGACTCTGCCCGGGGGCGTCTCCGCCTCCCCCACCGAGGTGCCTATTGTGCTGTCTCGCGAACGAGGGAAGGGGGAGAGGGGCGGGGGCCGCAGGGATGCTGAGCGCCGCTTCAACTGCCTCCGAGCACAAAGTCGAGGCGGCGAGGGCGCCGCGCGGGGGGCCCGGGGGCGGGCGGGCGCGGGGCCGCGCGCCTCCCACCGCAGCCTCGGCCGCGGGCTGCGCGGAGTTAGGCCCGGACGGCGCCCCGTGGCCTCCCGGCGGCCGGGCACGCGGCCCCCGCGCAGCCCGCGCGCCCCGATCCCCTCATCCCGGCGCCCTTCTCGGTTACCTCGAACTCTCTTCAGCGAAATGGGATCCTTCTCCTGTTCTGCTGACATTACAGACCGCGAAGCATGACTCCCCCCCAGGCCGCGGGAAGTCGGTCTCTTTGATGCTGCGGCGGCGGCTCCTCCTCCTCGCGGGGCCGCTGCGGCGGCGAGGCGAGCCTCCGAGCCGAGGCGCGGCCGAGGGCGGTGGGGCCGCCGGCAGACTTTGCAAAGTTTGGGAGGAGGACGAGGCCTCGGGGCGGCCGGGCAGCGTGCGGGGGCTGGCCGGGCTCAGCGGCGGCCGCGGGGAGCGCGGCCTGGGGGCGGCCCCCCGCCCGGGGCCGGCATGTGCGGAGGGCGAGTGCGCCGCCGCCGCCGCCTCCCACTCCTTCTTCTTCGCCGCCGCCGCCGCCTCAGGAGCCGCTGACAGGGAGGCAGGCGCGGGCTGCCGGCCCTGGCGGCGCCCTCACAGCGCCCTCTGAGGAGGAGGGCCGCGCTCCCGCCGCTCCCGAGTCGCAGACACAAAAGCCCCCAGCCTGCAGCCGCCTGCACGACCCGCGCTGGGGCGGGCGAGGGACGTGGCGCGGCCCCGCGGCTTCCCCGCCCTGTGCTCCCCGGCCCCGCGCGGCGACGGACTTCGGGGGCGGGGGCCGCTGCCTCGTCCGCCGCGCCCGCCGCCGTCGCCGCCTCGCGCTCCGCCTCGGCCCAGCCCCCACGGCCCGCGCGCGCCGCTCCTCCGCGCCGGGGCTCACGGGCCCGCGGCCCTCGCGGCCGGGGCGGGCAGCGCGCGCGAGGGGCCGCCCCGCCCTCCCCCGCGGCCCGCCAGGCCCGGGGACGCCGGCTCCGCGGCCCGCGCGCCACGGCCGGGCTCCTGCGAGGAAATGGCATCCCCGAAGTTCGGCGGAGGCCACGGCGGGCATCTTGGCCTCGCAGCCAGGGATGTGAGAGGCGAACGCCCGATCCGAGAAAACTTTGCAGGCGGGAGCCGGCGAGTTCTCGGCTGGCCTGTGGAGACCCCAATTCCCCGATTCCGTGTCCGTGCTCTGGACACCTGTTTGTGAGATTCCCAACTTCGAGTTCTAACCACTCGACTCTTCGAGAAAGAGCGATGCGGAATTAATACAAGAAAGGAGAGTGGGTAGAAGCGGTGAAACGTTTGGACCGGATTTAGACGTTAAATTTTAGGAGAAGGACCCCCCAATGTCCTTGTAGGTTGGATTTGGTCATTGATTCCACATCCATCACTTGGGCTGTGTGACCTGAGGCAATCTAGGAAGCCTCTCTGAGTCTCAGATTTCGGATCCTTTAAAGGGCAGTGGGGCTACAGCTCTGAGGTCTCCTGGCTCTTACATTCTTTGGCTTAACTTCTCTGAAATGGTTCTGTTTGTCGTCAAGTCTCCCAGTTATCCTACTAAAGAGAATCTGTAAGTGCAGACTCTCATCTTCAATCAGTGAGACAGTGGGTTTGTTTTGATGTCAGAATCACTAAAAAGCACTCATTAATCATATGAGGACTTAGAACTAACCACAAATAGGAGTCTTATCCTTCCGGAGGCAAGACCCATAGATGTCGTTTAACTGCACGTAGAATGTCAGGGAGAACAGATGTGAACATGAAGCCAGTGTGCAGTTTTAACAGACTAGCACCACAGCGCTGGAATTGCTTTAAAAGACATTATATGACGTGGTCAGGGAACAAATGTTACCCTTTCTTTAATTAGTTTGGGGGGAAATTCCTGATTAGAAGATTCAGACAAAGATAGACTGGGGAAATTTTTCCTAGAGGAGGCACATCGGAGAAGCCTCCCCCCAACTAGAATGTAAGCTCCATGCAGGCAGGAATTTCAGCCAGTTGGCTAGAGTATCCTCTGGGACCTAGCAATGACTGGCAAAGTATTCAAAAAGAAATTGTGTTGAATGAATGCATGAATAAACATCTGGAAGTGGCCCTGGGATGACTGGATTGACAGGGTTTTAGAAAGTGTGATAAAGACCAAGCAAATGCTAAGTATGATAAAGCAAATTGGATCTTACACTCCACCTTACAGGGTTGTTGAGAGAAGATGGGAAAGCACTTTGAAAATACCAGTCAATATGGAAACCTAGAGTTTTTATTATATAATCCTTAGTGCAAGGAGAGTGGTTGAGGAAAATCATTGCTTGGAGATTTTGAATTTTCTGTTTTAATTCCCTAAAGCCAGAGACTCAGAAGTATGTAAATCAAGAAAAACGAATTGGCCTCTCATTAATGATTCATCAAGAATAAAAAGACCATCTTACTTGGCCATGGATTTTTAGATCAATTTGACTTCCAAATCCTGACTGCTTACTTGCTACATATCAGATTTACCTGGAGAGCATTTTAAAATTTCAGATTCCCAAGATTTACTGAATCAGAATCTCTGGGAATGGAGTCTGGAAATCTGCTTTTAAATGTTCTCCAGATGATTCTACAGCAATGAGCATTGTGCATTATACTCTTTATGTCCCCAGTATGACAGAATTCCTAACAAAAATATCCCTTCACCTTGCTATTGTAGTCTTTATCCATGGGACTTGGTTATGAGTTCCAGAGTCTGACACAGAGAGATGCAGATAAATCTATTGCTGGTGGGCATACCCCACTATTTAAAAATACGTGCTCACTCATGCCTAAAACTCAGGAGAAGGCACAGCTTAGGCTAGAGCAAGGGTCAGCAAACTTTTTCTGTGGAGTGCCAGATAAATATAGGTTTTGCAAGCCAAACATTTTCTGTCACACCTACTCAATTCTGCTGTTGTAGAAGGAAAACAGCCAGACAATATGTAAACAAGTGGGTGTGGCTGTGTTCCAATAAAACTTTATTTATAAAAACAGGCACTGTGCTGAATTTGGCCCACAGGCTGTAATTGGCTGACCCCTAGGCTAGAACTTGGATCACATAAACGACTTGGGAGCTCAGGGCACAGGCCTAGGCTGCAGATACAAATTAAGGAGTCATTACCTAAGAGTGGATAAACTCACCCAGGACCAATGAGAAATAAGAGCTAAGAATAGAATCCAGGGAAACACTGACATTTTAAAGGTTGGAGAGAGATAGAGAAGCCTGTAAAGGAAATTGAGAAGGAATGAAAAAACAAAAACAAAACCAGGAGTATCGAGGCAATCAAGAAAAAGGAGAAATGATCAACATTATTACATGCTGCAGAAAGAAGTACTCATTTCTATCACCAGACATCCTTCGCCTGGAATTTACTTAAGCTCCTTGTTTTCTTGTATTTTGAAACATTTTATAGTCTTTGTTTTTAATATTTTACATCTCAAATTTTACCTGTTTATATTGTGGAAATTAGCATATTGGGGCTTTTAAAGCATAAAGACTCTAATATAAATTGGTTTAGATTAACATGTAAACTTTTTTCAGAAAAAAAGTTGATAGAAGTTCTATTTTCAAACATTTAAAATAATAGATTTGTTTTTAAATTGAATAGAAATAAAAATCAAACCCAACTGTTTGATCCAAACCTAGGTGTTTGGAAGTTTTGCAACATTGGTTTGAATGCTTTCATGATATAACTGAAATTGTGGTCAGTTTAGCAACCTCCATACATTGTTAAACCACATCCCAAAGCCCTTTCTTGACAAGTATAGATGGGCTATCAAAAGCTCAAAGTTGAGGGAATGACAACAGCAAACTTTGGGGGATGGTTTATATGAGTCAGGATTCAATCAGGACACAAAAAGCACACAATTTAAGCAGGGTAAGTTTAATGCAAAGAATTATTAGCTACAGTAGGAGACTGCAATAAGGAGGGATTGGATAGTAAGAAGTAAAGAGAATGCTAAAGAATACGAGAAAAGCAGATATAAGGAGGAGCCACTACGCTTAAAGTTGAGATAGAGGACCCAAAGAAGAGGCCCCTCCCTCTCCAGGCTGAGATCCTGACCTTATTGGAGAGTGCACAGGCCTGCAGTTTGAGGAGAGTGTCAGAGGAAGCAGCTGTCCCCTGAATGCTGTCTGTATCACAGGATCCTGGCAGTGGAGGTAAGTTGCCAGCACTGCAGGAGCTGGACGCTGGAGAAGCCACGCATGCTGCTGGAGCCTACCAAGAGGAGCAACCGAGACGGGAAGAAAAGCCCCTTCCTTCTGCACTCTCTCTCCAGCACCCTCTACTGACAAAGTATAGCATCATGCCATTTGGCAAAGGAAAAATATTTAAAGGGTCTGTCTCTATTTTTGGAGAGCAGGCAATGAAGGGTAAATTGGGGTTGAGAGGCATAAATTGAATACTGACACAATGATAGTGCATACTTTAGCCTAGCAAAGCTCCCTGAGTGACCTTATATCAGCAGCACCTTTGGTTCTGGAATATGCTCTGTCCTAAAATGCTACCTGCCAATTTATTGTTGTCTTGTCCTAAATGTATATTTTCCAGGCTATGAAATATAGGGCAAGTTTTAGTTCAAAATACCCTTGAACTCATTCTCTTTAACCTCTTATGTCCCATCCATCACCAGATTCCATAAATTTTACCTCCTAAATATATCTCAGATGTGTCCGTTCTTCTCTATCCCCACTGCCACCACTCAAGTCCAGCCATGAGAATTTATCTATTTTCTGGACTAATACAATAATTACCCAATAGTTTCCCCCACATCCACCTTAACCTCTATTCAGTCCATTTCCCACTCTGTAGCTGGAGTGCTCTTTTTTCTTTTTTTTAAATAACTACAGATTCACAGAAGGTTGCAAAGTAATATACAGAAAAGTCCTGTGCATTCTTCCCCCAGCCTCCCCCAAAGTTAACATCATGTACAACTATAGTACAATATCAAAACCAAGAAACTGACATTGTTACAATCCATAGAGCTTATTTCAGGTTTTACCAGTTAGACGTGCATGGGTGTGTGTGTGTGTGTGTGTGTTTGTGTATGTAGCTCTGTGCAGTTTTATCACATGTGTAGCCTTGCATAACCACCACCACAATCTAGATACTCAACTGTGCCATCACCACGAGACTCCCTAATAACGACTCCCTTGTGTTATCCCTTTATAGCCACACCCATCCACTCCCCTGATCCCTAACCCCTAAGTGGCAGCCACTAATCTATTCTGCATTTTAATAATTATGTTATTTCATGAAGGTTACACAAATGAAATCATGCAGTATGTATCCTTTTGAGATTTTTTTTTCACTTGGCATAATTTCCTTGAATTTCATCCAAGTTGTTGTGTGTGTCAGTGTTT